AGTCACACTTGTAGCTTTGGGGAAAAATTGGGGTATAAAGATCTGGTCCTCCAGGCTACACCAGCCATCATTTACCCAGCAAATCCTGGCCCCTAATTGTGCCACTGCAGGAAAATATCCGACAGCACTGGCACAGAGCATGGACAAGCACTGACTTGGGGGACAGATGCTCGCCCTCCTCTAACCCCAACTTTACTACCCCAGCAGCCCCTGTGCCTTCCAACCTACCCATTCAATCCATCATGGCATTTCCCATGGATGCAGGGGTTGCTGTTGCACTCGTTCACTTCAGACAGGCACTTGGGGTCGTGGAAGCCCTCGGGGCAGAGGCAGGTGAAGCCATTGATGCCATCCTTGCACGTGCCCCCGTTGTGGCAGGGGTTGCTGGCACACTCGTCGATGTTGATGTTGCACATGCGCCCTGGGAAAGGGGGAGTGAGGAAAAGTTACCCCACGGGATGCACAGCATGGCAGGGGGGTGCATTCTGCCTCACCTTGGATCTCAGATCTCTGGATATACGAGGAGGAGAGCGGGCTGCCCTGCAAGGAGGGTGACTTCACACCCTGCATTGCCTGCCCGGCTTAATTAAACGTGACTGGGAAGAGGCCGTGCCCTGGGCTCGTTTGGTCCAGGAGGGAATACTGAAGGGGGGCAGTTTCAGCCTGTAACCCTACCTGCCGTGGCTGACAAAGCCAGGCTTTATTTCGGCTCCCAGCAGGCCCGAGGACAAGGGGCCGTGCGGGCGGGGAGCGGCGGGGGCTGCTCCCATCAAAGCCCTCCACCATTTGCAGCAGCGATCAAACAAACCAGTCGGACAAGGCAGCAACCTGATACCCATGGGAGTGGGCGCAGCGGGAGTCGAATTCGCGGCACCAGACACCCCTTTGATTTCAGCCTGAGCCAGGGTCACCCTCCTGAACAAGCAGGAGCGCTGGAGGGTGCAAAACCTCCGGCGAGTGGGATGGCAGCCTCCCTCCTCCTTATTGCACCCCCTCTCCTGGTGACATGGGGCACCAGAAGGTGCAGGTCCCCAGGGCGTGGCGGTGGCTGCCATGCCCTGCTCTCACCTGTGTACCCCGGCTCGCAGGTGCACTCGTAGCCGTTGATCTTGTCGATGCACTTGCCGTAGTCACAGGGGCTGCTGGCGCAGTCGTCCAGGTTGATCTCACAGTTCGGTCCTGGGGAGGAGAGAGGGGTGTTGTTAGGGAGTCCCAGGCTCTGCTGACGCGGCAAAATGAAGCCCCCTGGCACCAACTGCTGCCGCCGCTCCACAACAAAGCACCTCCTCCATAAGCAGCTCCCCGGCTCCCAGCTGGGGTGTGGTTCCCGCCGGATCCGGGCACCAAACCGGGAAAACTCGCCCTCACCCAGGATGCCCCGGGCCAGCCCCAGCACCAGGGCGGCTGCTGTCGACGGCTCAGGGCCAACCTGCCCTGGGATGGGGATGGGACTGGGATGCTGCACCGGCACAGCCGACCCGTGTGGAGCCCCAGGGGTTCCCTCCCGCTCACCCGTGGTCCCTTTGAGGCAGATGCAGTTGTAGGCGTTGTTCCTGTCCTGGCAGGTCCCCCCATTTTTGCAGGGCTGGCTCTGGCACTCGTTGATGTTGATGTCGCAGCGGTGGCCCGTGTAGCCGGGCTGGCAGAGGCAGGTGAAGGAGGCGATGCCGTCCTTGCAGGTCCCGTAGTGACACGGGTCGGGGTCACACTCATCGATGTCGATCTCGCAGTGAGCACCTGTGAAACCTGCCACCAGTGGGGGGGACACAGGGTGAGGATGGGGGACACAGGCTGAGGATGACGGACATTCCTTCCCACCCTGGCCATGTGTGAGATAGTGTCCTGGGATGGCTTTACCTGCCCACCTGCCCTGTCCTCCCCCAGGACCCCCGGGAGTGGGGTGCAGGCAGGGAGCACCCTGACACGCCGGTCAGACAAGCTGGGGGGCTTTGTTCTGGGGTGCACAATGACCTGCATTAAGCCTCCTCGGCTCAGGAGTGGGGCCCCGCGCTCGCCCGCGGCTCGTCCCGGAGCGCACGGGGGGGGG